CTGATAAGTTCCCTTCCTTGCTAACTATGTTTATTCACCGTAAAGTCATGACTGATGCAATCAGTTAGATACTAACTATTTACATATGGTTTAAATTTCCGCTAATGTGTAAAGGATAACATACTCTTTATTGTGAAGAATAAAGGTTGTTACTGTCGCAGTTAAATCCAGTTTTTATGTATCTACTCAGTGTGTCTGTGGAATATTTCCGAGTGATCAGTTCTTTGGAGGCGCATTGTAGTCAGCATAAACGACAACAACAACCACAAAAACATAGGTGCGTACTGCTTGCTGCTGAAGAGTCAGTCCCAATTCTGGTTGGAGGAAACAGGCGCCCAGTACTCCCTATCGCCCGAGGTTTCCAGTCATCCTCACAACTGCTGACTTAATCATTTAGTGAACAAAACTTAAAACCTGTTTCCTTAAAGAAAAACCAAGTCAAAAAAAGACGAAATAGAAAAAAAAACCTTTATCAATCAATCACTCACGAAATTAAAGATCTTGTTAACGGTGGGGTGAAACGATAATCTAATATTGGTCTTTGCAATGTGGTTGTTGATGTTGTGCGCCCTTTGTAGTCAACCGGATTGCCGTTATTGTCGTCATGATTCCTATGAATTCTAATCAACGAATGAACACGTGGCTTCAATGACGATATCGGTGATGAGTTGATTGATGATCTTTGAGAGCCATAATAGTATTCGTGGTGGGAGTCCTTCAAGTTGAGATCACTCAAATTTCTTGTCGATGATGGCATTGAATATTGGCCGTCATCCACATCGTGGTCTTTCAGTTTCAGAGAAGAGAAACTTCTCAATTTACGAAAACAGTGATCCATTTGTGTGTTCGTGTGTGGCGAGAAATATTCCTAGTGGTGGTACTGACGCCTCAGAGAAGAACTTCAGTAGTTCCAATTATGTGTTTTATACTGTGTGTTAATCGGAAAGATTGGAAGAACATATTTCACATCTTTCTTATTCCGTAATCGTGTGTTAACTCATCGTCACATTGACGTGAACGTGTTTAAATTGATCTAATTCATTATATATATAGTCTCTCCCTCTCTCTATCTTTGTCTCTAGACACGCACTGACTCAATAAATGTTTACAACATCGATTTTAATACAAGGTCTCACGTGACAGCAAAAAGAAAGAGTCGAATTACACATACACACATTATATTTATCGATCCACTTCATCCCTATCATGCTATTGGCTAATATTCAGGGGGTATGAAATTTGTCTACATAAAGGTTGTACATTCACTTGTCTTTGTGTTATGTGTGTCTATCTGAGTAACTCTCCTATTGAAAAAGTAAACGTTGACGGTGTGCTCCTTTGTCTAGTAAATATCTGTCTGTCTATTTACATATCTATCGTCCATCTTTTCTTTTTAGTATGAATAATGTAACGGTGTATGTGTGGTGTGTCCGTCTACCAATTTCTAAGTGATGATTGGTTGAAGACGATCTCATCACAACACAATCAACCTATCATAGTTATAATTCATTCTATAATAGTCATGACTAACCAATCAATATCGAAGTCATGTTGTCATAACCTGTTTATTACATCTATGTTGACGTAAATTGATATGTGAGACAATAGTTGGGTATCATACTACTCACAAATGAAATCAGTAGATTGTAACGACACACCATGACCTAAAGTGGGTGTGTAGACAACGATCCTCCCTTCTCTCGCTCTCTCGAAATGCTGATATATGGCCATGAGCATTCATAGCCTCTGATGTTGGGTAATTCCTTTACACTACCTGGGGGATCGACTACCTATATTATTATTATTATTACTATTCCCTTGGATTCGGAGTGGATCATAAGGCTTCAACAGCCGGGCACATCTCCATTTCATCCTATTCAATGTAGACTTCTTTAGCTGCTGTTTCCGTGATCGATCATAGGCTCTTATCTCCTCCTCCCCAAATAATCTGCTTCTTGTCACCATCAGGTGATGGCCTGGTTGGCGAGTGATTTCACCCGACAGAGAGGCTACAACTGAGTTATCCGGGCTGGCAGCTGACCTTCTGAAGAATGACTGCATTGGATACTTTGACTGGACATTAGTTGGAACGATTATCAAGAATACACAGCGCACTTTGATGGCAAGTCACCATCTAGCATGGTGACCATATTGCGAAACTGACTGGCGGTGGAATTCAGCCTGTACCAATACATAAAGGACCAGACACATGGTACTAGTTATTAACTAGTATCCAATCAAAATAAAGAACAGTGATCCAGATTTCGGACATGGTTCAGTCACTTGGCACACGAAACAGCTATCCAGTACTCCCAGGTTTTCCAATGGTCCTCTAAACGATGTCAGTTCATGGTGAAATCGTGAAACCAATCAAATCAAATCCCTGAAAACCAACGCTTGAATATGAACAACACTAGAGACTGGCCCTATTCAGGTACATAGGGTAGGCGGTTACCTGGGTTCTTCTAGTGGGAAGTAAGTTGTGATCAGTAGGGTACAGCAGGTCGGGTGGTTGTGAGAACAAATAACCACCACCAATGACATTAGCTAGTGCCAGTCGCGTTATGTTGTGAATTGGGACAGGTTGGAATTCATTGGTTGCAATTGAATCGGGCGGGTCCCTGTGTCTGAATGGTCTACGAGCTCATCTTATAACCGGAAGGTGTCAGGGGTTCAAACCCTTGTGACTGGTGCATACTGCTGAAGAGTCTCAAACAAGAAGGGAGGAACAGCTGTTCAGTACTCCTTGGCTGGTTTTACAATCCTGAAAGGTACTGCCAACAGGCTGTTGGAGACTCGCATCAACAGCTACCTCTCATCCATACCAAAAATTAGATCTCCAGTCAGAAAGGACAAGCGACAAGGAGATCTGGCTGGCAACACACCAACCAGAATCCTATCACCTAGGTAACGAATGTGGTGGAGAAAGCGGAGACAGCTCGAACACAGAATGAGGAGGCCGTTGAATGACATCACACATCAGCCCCACACACACCGTAGAAAGGGTTCCGAATAAGAGAAGACAGGTTAGGCATGTGTCCGAGGATGGTGGCATGAAGTAGATCGTGTAGTGAGTTGGGAGAAAAAATGAAATCAATCGGAACGACTGTGGAACTAACCAACAAAAATATATTACAAAGAACAGAGTGAGCTGAAGATATGTCCCCCACCTAGATAAAGCCCTATGTTTGTTCTACTCAGAACCCAAGGGAATGATAATGGTAATCATACATTCTAAAGTCAGTTTCATACCAGAGGTTCCACTTATCTCAAATTTGATTGTAGACTGGCGTGTGTTGGGGAATCACCCAGAAGCAAAGAGTACTGGCTGGACTGTAACAGCTATTTTGCCTTCCTTTTTTAGGACTGCCCTTCATGAATAGGCACCATCATCACCACAGAGATCTGAAACAACTAGGACACTCACTGATGGTTACAAGGTGAGCTCGTTGACAATTATCCAACCACTGATGGGACTAACTCGATTCAATGACCATTGCATGAATTCGAATTCCTACCGATTTGTGATTTGAGCGCTACTGAGAGGCTATACAGTTATAAATCCATTCATTTTGAGCATAAATGAGACCTTCCGTATTCTTCCAAAGCAAACTTCATTAAATATGCCGATTATCTAACCATTTCTGTCCTAATAATTTCCACATGCGATTGTTCATAAATAGATTCCCACCTAAATGATCTTAAATTGAATCCATCTAAATATATCAAATTGTTGATTTTAGTTTCAGATGGAAACAAGACTCGCCGGGACCGTCTGTTTCACTCTCATGATTGCTGTAATACTGACGGCACTGTGTGATGGGGAGCAAATCGAATATCTCTTATCTCAGCAGCATCAGTTTTGCTTCAAATCTCTGTTGGTCCTCTCATATCCTGTTGATTTCTAAGCACAAACGTTTTCGTTTGACTTATTACATAAAAAGGAAGTTGAGACTTTCTGCTAGCACAACTCAACTCAACCTCTTCTCTTACAATTTATTGTTAATTCATTTATTCTCCCGATTCACCTTCTTTACCGTTCCCCGTGTCCAGTTATTCTTCCCTGGACTTCTCAAGAAAGACTATGTCATATATTACGTAAAACACTGAAGGCTGTGTGTGTGCCTTTGACTCAAATAACTAACCGACATTGTTGTCAATAGGCGCTGCAATTGTTGCAATCAGTTGGCTAAATTTATCTTGTCTGATACCGAACATCCTCTCCAATTATTCACACCTTCTCTCTCCTTATATCTGTCGAGGAGGATGGGTGAAACCAGAGTGGAAACTTCAAAAGAATTTATGCCCATACAAGTACTAAATATAAAGGAATCCTACCATAGCACCATATTTAGCACGGGTTTTGTGTGAAGAGGGAGATTCAGATGTCAGGAAAGAACTCACAAACTTCTTAAGTCACTAAGTGAACTGCATAGTGAAAGCAAAGATTATTACTATTACATGTATTATCTGTGACACTATATATTTATAATTCATTATGTTCCTGCCAACCTTCAGCATTTCGTGTTTTTATTATTACCAATGACTATTCAGTTTTATGTATCCAACCACGCATGTAGTCCTGGGTTCGATCCCCAGCCACCGACGCACTCCTTCACCTCGCTAAGCCAGTAATAATACTGGTAAAGAGGGAAGGTTGGGCATGAGGTTAGCACACACCCCACCTAGTAAAAATAAACACTACTGCTACCGAAACTTCAAGCCTCTATATTCCACTGGGAACGTAAAGGAATACAAAAAAAAACATATTCATAAAAGCAGCTAAATTGTTGCAATGTGTATAAAAATGCTGAGAATTTCCTTCTTTAAAATTGTTATTATTATTGTTTGGAACAAAGTGATTGTTATTATTATTCCCTTGACACCGAGAGAAACAAAAATGTAAAAACGAGTAGAGAATTCAACCGACCGACCAACCAACCAACCAACACACACACACACACACCTACACACCTACACACAAAGAATCATCAACTTACTATTGGACCCAACGATCACGTTCCAAAGCAGATTGACAAGAATAATTATATATAACGAAAGGAATATTGACAGTTTCCTCTGTTGTACTTCCCTGAGATTGAAGAGTGACTGGCGTTCTTGTTGCTGCTGCCGATGCGGAGGCGGAAGAGGAAGCTTTAGAAGGACTGTTGTTACGATCATTAATACTATTGTCATACATATTGGTGATTATAGGACTGGAAGTTGTAGACGTTTCACCACTCATAGAACGTGTTAGATAATTCTTGTCAGTTGACTTTCTTTCTTCGCGATTCGGCTGTAGGCCAGATGTACTTGATGTCATCAGGAATTCTTGAGATGGAGACATAACCTTGAAGGAATAGGATTATTGGAGAGGGGTGTGTGAAGTAAATGTAGAAACACAAATATATTGCAAAATACCACATAGTAGTGAAAAGTACACAAAGTTGGTCATATATATATGGGTGATCAAATAGAAAGGTTATGCATAAAGAGCATTGAACAGAGTATGGAATTAGTATTACTATTCCCCTGGGTTCCAAGTGGAACATCGAGCTTCAACAGCCAGGACACATCTCCATTTATTCCTATTTTCTACAGTCGTCATTTAGCTCGCTGGCCCAAAGATTGTCCATAGACTCTCATCTCCTACATGTCGACCTTGGACACACGCTTAACTCGTCGTTTCCAGTTTGGATTCCACTCGAGCGGCGGTCTGACTAGTGCTAAGTATCACTCAAAGGTCTCCTCATCAGCGACTGTGTCTAATCCACCCGTCTCCATTTTCTTCGGAATATTTCTTGAGCAATAAGTCCTTGAATGGTTCATTCCCTACCATAGTTTGTTACTGCTAGTTGTTTCTGGCCATTCGGCTTTCTGATCTACAGTGTGGAGCCAGAGAACTCGGCAGTTGTTCATAAAAGTCTGCAGTTGGCCTGTTTAAATGCGTTGATTTCCTTAATAAATGATCTGTTGCCTGACTTTTGCCTTCTGTCGTTACACTTCTCCAATGGTGAGAAACGTGGCCACCGCGTCATGGAAAGCATTTTGAACTGGCCTACTGTGTCAGGCTTTTATCAACATCTACCCCCCTTGCTGGCTCCATATTGAAGATCAGATGGCCGGCCAGCGAGAAAGAATCAGCAACAAGCGACTATGGGAACAAACTAACAAGGAACTTATCGCTCAACAGATATAAGTGAAAATGAATATGCATCGGACACCAACTAGGCCATCGCGCGACTGCAGCCTGAATGGAAAAGAAGAGAGTGGGGCGCGTGTCTGAGGGTTGCGTTCAGGGGATCGTGTAGTGTGGAGGATGGGGAGGAGGGGGAGGAGATGAGAGATTACGGGCTATCGTGTGGCTAGCCAGCCAGCTAAAGAGGACAGAGGAGAGCAGAACGAATTGGAGATGTACTCTGGCTATCGGAGCCATGTTTTCCACTCGGAACTCAAAGGAACAATAATAATAATAATAACAGACTACCTACCAAAGCCTGAATGTCATAGGTTCTATCCCTAGCCGTTAGGTAGGGGTAATGGGTTCGTACTACCAAAAGAAGACGACATAGCTGTCCGGTACTACTCTGACAGTTATCATCAACTGTCAAGTTAACCAAATGAAAGTTAGGTCTAGAAAAATCTGATCCACTCACTTGGAAACAATAATGACATCTGTTTTTATTATTAGTGTTATTATGATTGCTAATACTACTCCCAATTAGACTTGGATCAATATTACATATTTGTGTTAATCTGCCAATAGGATCAGCACTCCCATTGCTCAGGTGACTTGTCTTGACTGCATATTCTGTCGGTGGTTTCACATGGAAGGCTTGATACAATTCAACGGGTAGTTGGATCTGTTCACCAAGACAGCTTATAGCTTTTTCTATACTGACAGTGGATGAAGACTTCTTGTGTAGATGACTATCGAGACTTGATGAAGAGCCTGAACGACTGAAAGACAAAAAAAGAAGAAGGAACGCTTGATTAGTTAATACGTGTGTGTAAAACTTGGGCACTAATATAGCATTAATGTAATCGTGTATTAATCAGTTTATTAGATATACCACACAGTCAGTGAAACAGTATTACTTACTGGATGACGTTTCGAACACAATTTATCGTTCATGATCATATCAATTATAATCACACTACTTCGAGACTTGAGTTTTATAGTTTTATTTGTTCCTTCCCGTATTCATCGTGAGGGTAGCAGTAGGATTTTCCAGATGTCAGAGTGAACCACAGATGTTGAATCATTTCTAGATCTAGATTTTCTGGTCTTATCTGCTCCACTAGTTTGATTGACCCCGATCTACTAATACTTTGACCTATGTATTTGCCCTCACTGACACACAGTCATTCCGACAGGGTATTAGATAAACTAAATCACTGTTTTGTTTAGTAGGTTCCACCGGATCGACCCCTTAACTGACAAAATTTGTTTCCGAATGTAAGTTTGTGATGGGCGATTGAATGCCAGCCACTTTTATTCCCGCCTGCATTGTTGAGAATTCCATTTGAAGTTTCCGAGCTTCCTTCTTTCCTCCTACGGAAGTGTTACTGATAATTTAAATTCCCTGCTGTTGGTGTTGTCACATCATGCATGTCGTTATTATTATTATTACTATCACTACAATAATTATTTATTTTATTTTGTCATTTTCCCATATACTTCTTGAATAATTTATCAGGGTAATTAATAAGTTTCAAAGCTTCTCTTATGTGCCCGTCTTAGATCTTCCTTAGTACTACTCAGTTGTTTGCCCTATCACCTAAACATTTTCCCAATTCTATTTTTACTGGCATAGGGTGTGGGGATGATCGGAAACCGAAATATAGGTTTGAATGTGTGGGTTTTCTGTAAACACACACAAGTGTTTAACTTCCCATCTTATTTCCTTTTCACGCTACAATCCCTTTGTGACTTCCCAATTCACAAGTGAATTGAATTGCCTCTGTCTTTGATGAATCGATGTGTTGGAAAAATCTATTTATTAGATGGTTGGAGGCAATCGGCAGGAAGCCTTGGACTTAGGTTTCGTGCTATTTGGCACTCACCAGCTAGCAAGGCGTATCTGCAACCTCGAAGGAACTCATGTCCCTCCTGAGATTCGAGCCCACGTCACCCAGTGCTGCAGTCAGAGATGCTACCACTGAACTATTCGGGTTCGCCATTGACTAGACACATCACTCTAGTTACTAGTGTCCAATGAAACTATCCACTAGATTCCTACAGGAGGTCAATCGCGAGCCCGAATAGCTCAGTGGTAACGTCTGTGACTGCAGCACTGGATAATGCCGGTTCGAATCTAAGAAAGGATATGAGTTCCTTAAAGGTTGCAGATAAACCCTGCTGATGAGTGCCAACTAGCACGAAACCTAGGTCCTGTTTCAACTAACCACATTCTATATTTCATAAGTTGAAACTATCGGGTAGGTATCACTCAATCTCTACTTTTTTACAGTTTGTTAACTCTTGCGGTCTTATTGTCTGACTATCATCACCCTCTCTATTATCAGCTTTCTCCCACCTTGAATCTCATCTGGTAGTACTGGAAGTCATCATGAATGATTATATGCTCATTTGTACAATCAAGTACAGAAACTCGACGATACTCTCACTTAACCCATCTGCCTGCCCACGTTCTATGTGATAGAGGGTGTGTTATGCATGAAACTTGCAATAACTTACGAAGTAATTAGCAAAATAAGTGGTTCTTTGATCTTCTCCAATTTGTAACCTATGTTGACACTATCTCTATCATTTTACCTTTTTAATTATTGCCGCTATTATCATTTTCTACTTTTTCTACATTTCTGACTTTATTGTCTCTGCAAATACCAAAAAAGCTGCAATTATCAATTTTTTTGTTTTGCTATTGTCGAGTAAACTAGAAGCGATGTTGTACCAAATGCTGAGAATCCCACAGTGTACCGTAAGTACTATTTTTGGAATAAGGCAAGTTATTATTATCATTGTTATTATGCGGATGATACTGTCCTCCACCTCCTCCTAGGTGATGAAGACGCTGACAAAATACAACAGCAAAGTCTTCTGAAAGTCTTCAGCTGAAAATCTTCTAATGTTTGGTTGGTATGCGATTCGCTGTCAGTCAAATGTGTCAGATGACACTACAGGACTGAATCACATCGCCCCCTAGGGTTAGCTTAAAGATAGGCAGCAGTGAAGCGGCATTAGAGCATTTGTTGACCAAAACTTCATTTATTTGGGAGGCTTCATCAGCACCAACAGATACAAAAGATTTCTGTGGCGTTTGCTAACTTACTTCTCACCCTTGGCATAGATGTGATATCCTACTGTTTATCAAAAAACGTGTGTTCTGCATAGGAGCAGCAGTTCTCTCTGTTCTTCTTTATAACTGTTAGTGAGGTATGGCAGTCTTTGAAAATGGAAGATATGAAAAGGCTGGTTGACTGGCTAGCTGTCTGTGACAAGTCACAGATGTTTGCATTCTCCCTCCCGCATGTATTAAGTCATATAAGACGGGGTGCAATATTGATGTGTTTATGTGTGCAATTTCGGTTAAGGGGGTAGGTCAATCAGTGAGGTTTTCCGGTAGAGAGGACACCTGTTGCGCGCATGCCAAGCCATCACCTTCGATGAACAATGTTAGCTGAGAAAGACCTAGGAGTGGGTTGTCAAACCGAAACCTGACGTCATTCCAGCAAAAACTTCAACAGTTGATTTAAGCCAGCCACGTAGAGAGGTGCAAGCTGCCTTCTTGGGGTCCCTGGCCAGTCCCACTGATTTTCTGACTATGAAAGATAGAACTTATCAGTGTCTCAGTTCTGTTGACACATCTCTCCAAAATATGGTTCTCGTAGGCCTAGGGGATAATGCATTCGGCATTTGAAACGATAGGTAGGTGCACCCAGAGTTCTAGTCTGAGTGGGGCAAACACCACCACTCACTCATTCCTTGGGGATTGTAGGTACATCCAGTTGCACCCCTGATGAGTCACAAAGTGGGACGAAATTGTTCCATCTTGGCGAATTCCGAACTGTTATTCATAGCAGTGTGTGTTCACAAAATGAAAAAAACAAACTATTTGCTGCCAATTTATGAGATGATAACGAGTTAAAATAAAGATGGCAATGAAAGGTATATACTAAAGAACTAAAACATCCTCTCATAGAGGATACTAAGAATAGACAACAGCGTGTTCAATTCTTGCCAAATTGACTCTCGGATCAGACACTAGTGTATGTGTGTGTGTATGTATATGCGGTAAAAGCCAACTAACGACTTTACGGCTATGGGAGATCATATAAAAAAGTCATGAATACATTCGTGACATTAGGGAAAAAACTCTTAAGGTACATTATCAACCAATGGTCTCAAGCAATTGGATCTTACCATGACCAAAGACCCCACAACCAACCGAGTAGTCTAAACCTTCCTAAGTGGATAAATGGCTGGCTCAAACCAGCTACAGTCAAAGACTTCATGGATTGTTACAAATTTGATCACGGATTGGTACATCAATTAGAGATGTCAGCTCATGATGAAATCCTGTTGTCAATCAGACCTAATCCCTGAAAACCAACAACTGAATATCGCAACACTAGAGACTGGCCCTATTTAGATAGATAGGGTAGGCAGTTATCTGGGTTCTTCTAATGGGAAGTAGGTCGTGACCAGTGGGGTAAAGCAGGCCAGGCAAGTGTGAGGACAAATACTCACCACCGATGACATTAGCTAGTGCCAGTCACACTATGTCGTGGGCGAATTAGCAGAGTTTGGAATTCATCGTCTGGCTTTTGGATCAGGCGGGTCCCGGTGTCTGAATGGCTTACGAGCCCTCCTTGTAACCGTAAGGTGTACTTGGCTGTTCAAACTCATTTAGTGGTAGGTAGTCCCAAACTAGGGGGAAGAAACAACTGTCTGGTAGTACTCTCTCGACTGTCAGTCCTCTATTGGTTCTCTAATCTTTGTCAGATAATGATAAAATCCTGTAAAGTTGAAACATGCAGAGAAGCCAAGTATTTCTTACAGTCATGATTTTATACTACTTATAAGTAGCTTAACTCTTTAAGGGTACGTTTTCATAAAAAATATATTACACTAATGACAGCTGACAGACAACCAGAGTCTAGCAGGTTTGGACCTCGTGCTTGGATGATTTATGTTTAATGTGTCACACATAAAACTCGAAGATATACACCAGTGAAAAACTACAGCAAATTGACAGAAGATGCTGTCAGCTAAGATAGGATACTTCAAGTCAACACACAGAGAAAACAGAGACATTATGAAGGTTGCTGACAACCGTGAAAATCGCCAGTGAACTTCAAAAGGAAGAAATTCTATGGAAGTCACAATGTCCAGTTATCCAGGCAACATCAGAGGTGAAAGAGAGAACTGTTTTGCCCTAGTACGAGACTCTCAGTCGGTACGTACACTAACGAACCTAACGGTAGTCTAACCCAGAGCTCGCAGGTTATGAGGACAATCTCGTTAACATTTCAGCCAGTTAATTTAGAATTCAACTGCACATGAATTTCGAAATCCTGTCAATTCATGATAAATAGTGTGAGCGCTAAATAATATCACCCGCCAGTATTTTCTATCACCTCCAAATGTAACAACAAAAGACAAGGGCAACAGATCGTTTATTAAGGAAAATCGACACATATTTATAGATTTTAATGTACATTATTGTAGATTATTGTTAGTAGAAAATACAGTCTTTTGATTGGTTGTTTCTCACAGAAAGTTAACCTTGCATCTCTTTGTGGTTGTGTCAGATCATCCATATGCTAACTGTATCCGCCTACGCAAAACCTTTCTTCTTATTTTCTCACCAACAATATTGGGGACATAAACATTGACGTCAATTACTGTCTACTAACTTTGGCTAGCAGCCAGCTCTCACCACACAAAGACCTAATACATGGACTCCACTGATAAAATTTCTTACTAAGACTTT